AGAATACGGCATTCATTGTTAAGCTAAGTTTTTTTTTTCTTTGTTAATTTTAAATACATATGTTTTGTTTCCACTCACCTGCACGTGAATTCGTTTTCGCCCAAGCATAATTCCAAACAATCACGTCGCGACACCACCGGTATCGTGCGCTTTGCATAGCCATTCAGCTTGTAGCCCTGTACGCGATCAACACACCAGGCACGTAAGCACGGCCGAATGCCCAAACATGATTTTTGTGCATAAATTGTGAAGACGGGGAATTGCGATTTGGTCAAGGCGCCTATTCAGAAGAGAGAAATAAATAGAGGTTTAAGTTAACAATGTATTTGAGCAGATTGTTGGTGATGACAAGAGAAACACATTAAGTGCACTCCAAGCTAATGCGTATATACGGAGAATTTGGCTCTTCAACTCTCATTATTTTTGTTGAAAAATTTAATAAATCAAGCAACAAATTTAGAAAATATTTAAATTTTAACTTAAACTACTTTAGCGGACTTCTGCAAACTTACGCTGATTTTAAATAGTATTTTTCAATTAATTAAGTTACTTAATTCGAATAAAGATCAAAATTAAATTAAAAAATTCTATACCTTTCGAGAAACCTGCTGTCAGTTACAAAATATTTTTTACTCGCATAATTTGTATTATTTTACCATTTTTCACTACCTTCCAAAGCATTCACTTGTAAACAAGTTTTGATAAAATTCTTTTTTGTACTCAATTCGAATAGCAAAAATGCGTACGCTAACGTAACTCAACAATAATTGTAATTTAAGTTGCAGCCTTTCCTACCGAATTACGCACTTGGAAGGCTACATCACAGCTACCGAAGAGCGCTTGAGTGCGTAAACTCCACTGAAGTGCATGGTTCTTAAGGCTATATCTCTAGCTTATTTGCGTAATTTGTATGTCCGCTACACAAAAGCTAAGCGTAGTAGAACGACGGCAACGTGTTTACCACATTGCAACGATATAAACAGATATTAAGGAACTGTGACTGGCGCTGATTTTTTTTTACACTTTAACAGCTTTTGGGCTTCTCAATTAAGGGGTTAAAGTGAAATGATGTTGCGTCTAAAAACATCTTAAAAAAACTATTTTAGTAAAAGTAAACAAGCACGCTTAGTTGGCATGCTTTTTTATGAAATTTCCTAATCACTCTGTCTGATTATTTTGTACTCTTTCGTTAGTTTTGGCAAATAAAAATAATGACGCGACGAGCATGCTTTACTCTATTATTACGCGATTTATTGCCAAATCATGCAGCATTATAGCCCCACACATAATACATATTCACTGGTAATCAAATAGTTGATTCTGCCAAATTATTACCAGCTCGTTGGGTGTCTTTAACGATTTTACTGCTCAATTTTCGTTTCGTTCTGTCATAATTCCTTCTTATAATTGCAACAATGAAACGTCTCAATTATTTCCTACTCCTTCTGTAAATGATACGTGATTTATTTAGAAGGCGAAAAACAAAAACAATGTTCTCCGTACGGCTGAGTTTTCTACTTGCTTATATTTTTTTAATAGTCACTGTTTCTGATCTGATATACATACAGTGTCGAACATGGCATAGTGATGCGATGTTGCTTTGACCAGGGCTTGAACCCAGGCGCTACGGAGTGGAAGCGCGCACATCTTGCCACTACAAAGTAGTACTGAAGTTTGTGACTTTGTTAGAGTACGGCTGTTAAATTGTATGGGCTATAAAACTGCTTACACAAAAATTATGTAAAGATTCAGATTAAAAACCTCGAAATTTTTATCAAAATTTTGATAAATTTCCTTAAATTTCGTATAATGTTTGAAATTCTGATTTATATGGTTTCGGCTAAAGCTTGGACAGTATTTTTATATAAAAATAATAAAAAAATTAAACCTTAAAAAATTGCTAATATTTAAAAGAAATCAACACCCGTCTTTGAGCCACAGTAGGTACGTATATACAATAGGGTGGTCCAAAATAAGTAAAGTCGGAATTTTAATGCTCTCACCCCCTAGGATTGTTTTATATCGAAAAAAGTATACCCCTATTTTTTTATTTTGAAATCAAAAAATATTTAGAGGTCGCTCAAAGCAGTTAAAGTTTTCCATGTATTTTATATAGGAAAAAAACAACTTTTCGTGGATTGGAATTCTTCAAAATCAATATTTTTCTATCGGAAAACTTTGGTTACCTTCAGGAGACTTCCAATAACAATATCCAAATGTTTATTTAACCATTTTACAATGCTAAAGATGTTTTTATTATCTCCATTGCTTTTTTCTGGCATTTTTAGGTTTTATGGCGGACATATAAAATATAGTTACTATGAAAAGTTTTTCATCGATTGGAACGAAAAGAAACTACCACTTACTAAGGTACTAGCCGAAATAAGAACAAACACAAAGTTTTCGCTCCGTCCGCCGTTTTTTTTCATTTCGTAAAAAAAGTATTAAAACATGACGTAAAGTACTTACCGAACTCTCTATTTTCAAAGTTCAATAACTTTGTACAGAGCAAACGAATGATGCTACACTTTTTATGGATTGTTACCTATAAAACGTACGTACTAAATAAGTATCGCAGCAGGCAGAGTACTGTGACTTGAAACCAATTTATGATTACAAAAAAAAAAAAAAAAACTACTTCGTTGTCAATTCATTATCGTGCTTTATGCTTTCGTTACGATTTCTTAATTCTATTTGGCTCTTTGCTATAAGATTACGATAGCTTTTTTTTTAACTGTGTGACATAATCAATTTAACTTTTTGATTGAAAGCTTCGTCTACCGAAAATATGTCTAATGACTTTTGGTGTGAACTAAATTTCAAGGTCAATGAGAAACTTTAACGAGACAGTTGTTTGAAAGTAAAAAACGTAAAAAAGTGAAACGAACGAAACAACATATCAGAATTTCACTTTTTAAAGATTCGGCTAACTGGCTCTCAGATACCAAAAATTTAAAGCGTTATCTTAAACAAAAAAAGAGTTAATGGCTTCTTCAGAAAAGCATTTGTTATGCAAATTTAAGACGTGTTTTGCTTATCGCGTAACATTTCAAAATTTTCAAATATAGCCCTTTGCGTTGTGTAAGCAAGAGGTCACTCTATTTAATTGCTTAATTTATTGATTTGTTGCTTGATATTTGAAATATAATTTTTTGATAACTTTCATATCGACTCAGCCAAAATCGGGTTTACTTACCAGGCAATTTGTCCGCATTGGCCGAGAATAGCACACACAAGCCGGTCTCGTAGTTCACCGCACGACAGGCTTCGTTCGTTTGGCATGCTTCCAGACAGTCGGTTAACATAAGCGTACCAGGCAGTGAATTCAATAACTTTCCGGGTGCAGAGAAAACGTAGCTGAAAGAGGGAAAAAATTACCTGGTAATTTGAGATGATTATATGCAATCCAATATTTAATGTAAAGTTAGTAATTATTAAACGGTTCTTTGAAATATGGTTGAGATGTCGAATTCGATGCATTCTTTTTTGTTATCCGTACGGAGTTGAACCATATAAACAGCTTTTTCTACTTATTAACTGAACCACTATTAACCGAAAATTTCCACAAATTTTTGATCCAGTTTTTAATAGTTGGATTTACCTCACTTTTTTATTTTTTCTCTTGTTAAATATGGTAATACAATGTTTCTTTACCAGCAGAAATTTGTTTACTACTCATGTACATACGTACATATAGCGCATGATATAAATTCTATACGTTTATATATGTATATATATTTTTTTATTGTGACTGAATAAAAAAAAAATAACGCAAATACCTGTACATATATTTTTTTTTTAATTACCGAACATTTGATCCATACCGAAACCGCGGTTCAAAGACCAAAAACCCGTTCTTAGTCCAAATACCCGGTTCACGGCGCTGGATATTGGAATATTCGTTTAATACCAGGAATGTCCGTATTATTCGGATAGAATCTCCAGCTCCAATTATTAGTTGCTTACATTTTATACTTTTTTAATAAATTAATCCCTAAAACAATTCGTGATCAGCCCCTCCAAAGCCTATTTCCTGATGTGAAAAGCGACTTATCCTCTCTGATAACTAGGTAATCTGCCATATTTCTGGCCCATTTGATTGACCCGAATTACTCGCAAAAAAGGGCGGTGATGACGAATGCTATTAACTCTTTGTATGCATACTTGTAAAAAATGTGCATATATATATATGTGTAGAAGAAGACAATCTTCATGTTGTTTTTTTTAAATGCAACAACTGCTTTCGACTTACGCTATTCGAATATCTGTTTATTGCTAATATCAATGAGTGTCTACATACATATGCATTTACATAAATATGAGACATGAGATCACTAGAGGAACGCTGGAAAAAATATACTTCTTTCCTGAATGCTTCTAGTCTGTACCTGCACTTGATACACTTCCAGGCAGAATAAAGATAATTTATGTTGCACATCTCAACTTTTCTTATGTTGATTCTTCTTCGTTGAAAAATTACAATGGCAATATGATATCCATGTGTTTTTACTGTTTTCTGCATTTCTACTGTTGCTGCCCTGGTTATAGCAAATTAGTACCTGACATCAGTATTGCTGACATCTTGACTGATGATTTGTCGGGCTGCTGTACGCTGCAGAGTGAAGTGTATGCGTGTATGTGACAGGTTGAAGCAATCAGAAGCAGGGTACACTGTGTAGAAATCATAATAATAATATTCGATGGAGGAGGAAAAAAAGAAGAATGGGTGGAAGAAGAGTCGACAGAAGCAATGCCAAGTTGTTGTTGGAAAAAGATTGCCGCTGTCATGTAATTGCATGACTTGAAAGTAATTAAATACACACTAGCATATGAGGTTGAGGTCGCACAGTTCTTGCGGTGGCATTCGTAGGATTGCAAGTGAGTAATTGGGGTCAGTATGTTTTTGCGGTCGTTTCTATCTACAGTGGCGGTCAAAAATGGATGAATGGTGTTTCGTTTTTAATATTTACAATGTTTTTCAAGGTACAATTTTTTTGATATATTTTTTTTTTTAAATATGGTTCATGCTTTTTAAAGATCATAAAAAATTCCAAAAATTTTTATCTAAATAAATTTCGAGCTCTTTAACCAGAATTTTGAGACATTTTTTGGGTACGCAGTTAACAAGCTTTTAAAATTCTAGTAAAACAAGTACACGTTTTGAGCAGCTAAAATTCACATAGATTTATAATAATATTTTATAGTTGACAGTGTTTTGCATAAATTCCTTATGGAGGGATATACGCAAGACCGTTTGCAAAAAAAATGCAACACCAGTTTTCCTAAATTTCACTATTTATATGAAAAAAAAAAACGTAAAAGCCGTCAGCAAAAAAAAAAAATTAAAAATCAACGCGATTTTTTAGCCACTCAAAACTTGCCCCTATTTTGTTACTACATACCCGAAAATTTTATAATAATTCTGATAAAGCTCAAAATTTTGGGAAAAATTTGTGGAAAATTTTTAAATTCTTGATAAAGTTTGAAAATGTGATTTATATAGCTTTTGTTAAAGTATGGACCATATTTTTATAAATATTCCACAATAGTTTTTCATTAAAAACGGCCTCAAGCTCAATAAAAATTGTTGAATATAATTTATAAAAAAGTATGAAAAAAATGTAGCTTCAAAAATATTGTAAATATTAAAAACGAAACACCATTCATCTATTTTTGACCGTTACTGTAAGTATATAACACCATGAACGTGTGTATGTAGGTAGGTACATTTCAGAACTATAGATCAACCCCCTTCTAAATATTCTTAATCCTTTTCCTTGCATTTCTTACATTTTGTCGATATTAGGCGGCAGCTTTGGAAAATTTGATTGAGAAATTTCGCCTTCCGGTACAAGCCAAAAGTGTGGTAAGAGGCAAGAAGCGAAGAAAGTTTGCAAATTTGTAAATTAAAGGCATTGCATTGTTGTTGCATCGTTGCATTGCTTGCTGTACATCTTTTTGTGCAAATCATTATCTTTTATTGCATAATTTTCACAGAGCTCAGCTGACAATGGCAAAAATAAAGGCATGTAATACTGCACAACCAAAGATGCAACAACATGATCAGTGTCAGAAAAGGTTATCGAATTCGCAAATCAATATCAATGCCATAAAATCAAAATAACATTTGAAAATCGCTGCGAGGTCAGCGACTTCAAAGGCAAACTTTATTTATTCGTTTGCCTTGCCTGCTGACTGGCCGCCTGCTGGCCTGCTTTCCTGTCTGCCTGCTCCTGCTTTCCACAATCAACAATTGTACCGAATTGCTTGCGTCTTCTATATTCATCCTCCACCATTTCCATTGCCCGTTGCTCTCTGCTTTAGATCTCATAAGGGGATTGTTGTCCTTTCATCGCGTCTCTGCACGCTAGTGCGCCATCATCCCATTCCACAAATACGCCAATTCGCTTGAGGCCAATGACAAAATGCGCTTTAACTTAATAACAAATTACGTTTGGCTTTCAACGTAGGCATTTCTTGCATTTGTTATGGCCTACAAAACGAAATTGTAGCCAGCCATTTGCCACATTTTCTCGCTGATTGTCTTACTACTGAATGTTGGCAACTGTAATGTGGCAACATGAAAACAAATCAGTGGAAATAATGCAAAAAAGATGGTTGCTGAAATCAGCGCAACAGCAATAAATACAATAACAGCAGTAAAAATCGCCGATACCGCTATGATTACGCCACGAATTTATTGAATTCACGGCCTATAATTGCGGCAACAAGAAAAGCTACGAGCCTACGATAGATGCCACAGATTCTAACAGATCCCACAAGATATGCGGAACCTAGTTGTATTTATAAGCATACATTCATATGTATCTACATTAGATTGGGTCGGTGCCCATACGAAAGAAAAAGTGTCTAATTACGTACCTAGCTTGAAGGCTTGGCTTCAGAGGATACTTTCGTCTGGGTTCATACCAAAAACGTCAAAAATCGTTTATGGCCTGATATTAACGTGTGATGCGGCCGTTGGAAATATATTTTTGAGAACCATTCCATTATTTTAAAATACTTGAAAAATGAAGCACCAACATTTGTTACTTTATGGTAAATAAAACCGAATTTTGGATAGGCAAAATTTCATAATTTAGTTGTTTTGTCGAAGGAGGCAATTTATGTCATTGCAGTGTGTCTAAGTAAATAAATGTTTACAAACTTTTACAAAAACAAAGTTCAACGTTCAGTAAAACCCACAAGCATCAGACAAAATTTACGAAAATTCTCAAATCTTTATAAAAGTTTTCACGTTTTTCATTACATATTTTAGGAAAAATTTGCGTATGCAGTTTTGTGGTTTATTGATTTACGGCAAATTGAGTGTGCCTTTTCGATGTAGCTAAAACTGACAGTTGATTTTTGAAATTTTTTTTTCGTTGAATGCAATTTAATTTAATTTTCTTTCATACAATCTGCCTTATCCTGAGTTTCGCACGAAAAAAAATTCACCCGAAAATTTTTATTTCGCCCATAGTAAATACTTGGAAACCAAAAGTGAAAAGTGAACCGGTTCGGGGAAAATTAAACTCATGATAAGGCTGAATATTTCTATGCTCGAACTTCAAAGCAAATTTTTTTTTTAACAACCAACGGTAAGTCCTAACTATTTCGAACGTGCACTTTATTAAAAAAACAATCCAACAAACTACAAAACCGGAACTAAAAATCATGAAACATGTAATAAAAACATCAAAAACTTATGAAAATTTGCAGAATTCGCTTAAAATCTTGCACAGAGTTTGTAAATTGATTGTTGTGGATTTTTCTGAAGGACTTTTGTATATATATTTTTTAAAGGAATATGCCACTATTTATTTACTTCTTACATAGGTCCTAAAAAATGGAAACAAGTTTTAGTGTGGAAAATGTTAAAGATATTTTTGAAAGACTTTTTTATGCTGATTACCAGGACTGGCTTTAATTTAAGCCTAAGTGGAAGGCTTTTGTCTGTTTGCTAGAGCTTTTCAAGTATTGCAAAAAACTGGAATTTTACACACTTTGACCTCGTTTATATTAAAATCTCGAGCTTATAAAACTTTATACTTTATATTCGTAATCAACACAAAAAAAAACAAGTAAGAAAGTCTAAGTTCGGGCGGAGCCGAACATTAAATACCCGGCGCAAATATTAAATAAATGTTTTTTCACCTTTCCGAAGGCTATCTCTACATGGTAAGCCGGGGTGTATACATTTTGAGCAAATTAGCGTCTTTAAATTTCGAAATATCGCAGTTTCAAGCATTTCTGAAATTTACCGTTATATGAAAAGCGGCCGTAATTTTAGTCCGATTTCAATAATTTTCAACGTTTTGCTTATATGTGGCAAGCACAATAAAAATACCGAGTTT